TCCTCCGCTCGCTGCAAGTGATCATCGGGGTCATCAAACAGTGGGGCGCGGGAGTCGTCGGACGACGTGTCGAAAACAGGCGACATGAGTACCTCAATATTGGAAGGGCGGGAGTGTGATTGGGAACCCGTGGACCGATGTGAACCGCTACTCGGAGTTCTCTGACGGACATAACCGGGCGAGGATTCAGAGCGGGGGAGGATGTGTGGTGTTGGACCAAAGCTTTGTTTGAGAGGGGATTGGGTGCTTGTGAGATGGAGAGTCGCAAGGCCCGGCGATGTGACGGTTCGGCGATCCTTGAGAGAAGGAACAGGGGGTTCGGGTGTATGTCTCTGCACGGAGCGACCGAAATCGGTGTCCCCGATCGCGCGAAACCACAATTCCGAACGTTCAAAGTCTTCGAAATCGTGCTCCATGCTGCGTTCCACCTGTCGTTGGACCAACATCACGCTCCTGCGTACAGTCCGCTGCGTGGCCAGCGACGGTTCCTCCTTACTTGTCGCGAAGTCTCGTATTCGTTGTATGTGCTTCTTTGGGATCGAGGCCAGCGTGGGATGAGGAGTTGGAGTGGAAAAATAGAGCTCGTAGATCATGGATATATCCTCCCTCACAGTGACTAGATTGGAAGCGTCCTGGATGGGATCGTCTTCGTCGCCCGATGAACTCGAATCCACAGATTCTAAGGGATTCTTGAAACTTTCGACTGTGAGCCAGAATTGAACAAGCAGAGACCGATGCCGGCGGTCCATAAATTCCATGAAGTACGACAGAGAACTGGGGTTCTGCAAAACATCGCGCAAAGTAACACCAGACTTGAGACCCGGCTCTTGATATGACGATGGTCGTCCCTTGTGAACGGTTCAGCGCCGAGTTTGAGCCAGATAAGGAGCCCTACCGAATCATCCCCTCCGCCGAGTACAATGATCCTTTCCTCGACCTTTCTCTTGGCGGTGTAGAGTCTATCCAGAAACGCAACAACGTCTTCAGTTTTCTCTCCGTTGATCCAGTCCTCCTTCTCGTGATTGGCTAGTTACTATATGAGTGCGAGGGGTCAATGGTGGAATGATATGGCTTACCAAGTAATACTCGAGTTCTCCTGATCTCTCCTACGACATCATTCTTCAGGCGGCGGGCATCCAAAAGCGACGAGCACCGATTTATGCTCCGAAGGAACGACTCGAAATGTCGAGGGTCTGTTCGGATAGTGATTTTTTCGGTAGTCGGTCCTGCGGGAACGGAGGAAGACGAAGAGGACACGCGCTGGTGAGGACGAGGTGCCTGAGCTTCTAGAACATTTCGTACTTTGCTGACAGTTTTTGCTCATGTATCGCTGCACCAGCCTGTGCATACAGTTGATGAATCTTGCAACACCCAAAGAGTCTAAAGTACCTACCACTTGGTCGATGGCTTTGTTCCAGAAGTCAGGGTCCGAGAGCATTTCCATGACTGGATATAGAACGGCGCAAGCCACAATCTCCCGTACTACCAATTTCAGAACCCTGCTCTGTCCCTCATTCTTGGGTAAAACAAATGGAAGTGCTTTTGCCACCAGCTGCCTCAGGTGTGCTTCTTCTGTCTGCCTCGTAAACGTGGTGGATAAGTTGTCGATACTAGGGTGCAGCTTTTCGCGACCTGCAGTCGAGTATCGACTAGCCAGTAAAAGGTCCAGCTCCTCGGACTGTGTTAATCGTCGTTCCAAGCCAGCGCCTCGAAGAGCGACTTCTGACTGCCGAAACTGCTCAATATGAGCGGTGACCTTGGGCAAGATACGCTTGACCATGAGCTCTGCCAAGTCAATGCCGGCAGCGCGATCGAGAAGGTTTTCGAGTGACTTGTGCAGCACAGACGAGACAGCCATAGGAAACGACGGAGACGCGGATATGTCCTTGTACCACACGAGTACAAAGTCCCGGACAATCATAATGAGGATGTCGTTTATTGCACCAGAAAGAACAGGCGCGCTGGGTACCAGGGGTGGGAACGACTGAGGGCTATCTTGCGACCACTGAGAGCGCGTAAGAACGGCCTGCCAGGCTGCGGGGCTTGAAAACACGAATGGTCTAGCTGCATGGCGGAGAGAGTTCCTCGCTGGAGGTGCTCTCGCATCGAGGAGATGGCTCACAAGCACATTGAGGACGAGAAAAGCAATACCCAGAAGCGCAAGAACGAAGGGGGAGATAAGAAGGAGGGTGAAGGGGTTGGAGACGATGCGGAATATGGCGGGGAGGACTACGGCGAGAACGGCGACGAAGACGACCGTCTGAGCACTAGTTGGGTAGTTCATCGCCAAGTATTGAGTTCATCCCTGTAGACCTTGAAGAAGCATCACTTCAAGTCCCTTTCGGTCCTTTCGGCTTTACCTCATGTCAGAAAATTAACGCGTCCGTTCGGTCTTTCCTTTTACCTTCACCACGCGTAGAATGGCGTCCCCGCCCGCTATGGGTCGCCCGCTTTCCACCGCGGAGGGATTTATGTGTGGCGGCATAGCTGCGTCCATTGCCGTTGAGTACAAGTGCTCTCGGTGCTTGGACGAATCTGACTAACTAACTCCCCAGGTCACTGTTTCCAATCCTGCCGAAGTAGCCAAGACCCGTTTGCAGCTACAGGGCGAGCTGGCGAAGTCTGGGGTAGAAAAGGTCTATAAAAATGCCTTCGATGTCATGGGGAAGACGTACAAGAACGAGGGCATTCGAGGGATGCAGAGAGGACTTGGCCCTGCGGCATGTCGCTACAATGCTATTCACCTTGACATATGTCTGACGTGTTGCCTCTAGTATGCGTACCAAGTGAGCATATCGGTCTAATTCTTGTCTTGGTTTTTGTTACCATACTTCTAGATACTGTTAAATGGTTCACGACTGGGTAGGTATTTTGAATGTCCTTTCGGCTTCATTTACACGAATCCCAGGATTCTACGAACCATTCCGGCGAAACATCAACAAATTCATCGGTCGAAGACCTGAAGAGCAGCTAGGATCAACTGCTATCATCGCTGGAGCGACGAGCGGGGCTGTCGGGGGTCGGTGATTTGTTGCCGAATCACGCTCGCGTCCAATATTCATTTGCGCTCAGCCTCTCTCGGGAACCCTCTGTTTCTGATCAAGGCGCGAATGCAAGCTTACTCCCCCGCTTTACCTGTCGGCGCCCAACATCACTACAAAAGCTCCTTTCACGCGCTTTCGACGATATTTCGCGCCGAAGGATTGCGGGGGCTCGTTCGCGGCATAGATGCGGCAATTCTACGGACGTCAATGGGCTCATCCGTGCGTTTTTCATTTGGGAAGCTGGGCTTCAGATTCGCTTACTTGACGTAGGTGCAATTACCGAGTTATAATCTCACCAAGAACTTTCTGGTGAGCCGCGATATCCTTCCGGCCAACAGCGCGTGGACGTTTCTCGCGAGTAGCGCAGTTTCTGGTGTTTGTGTGGTACGTCGCTCTGTGAATATCGTTGTGTTTGGTTTAACTTGTTTTGCAGTGCATCGTGATGCAGCCTGCCGACACTGTGAGTCTCTGGTCTATTCCCAATGGTCACGATTATCGACGAGTTTCAAGGCATTAACACGGGTGTATAACCAACCAACTGTTGTCGGACCGAACGGCAAGCTGGTGGGCACTCTGTATAAGAACCCAATAGACTGTCTCTGGAAGACAGCCAAAGCGGAAGGTTTCCGCGGATGGTACAAAGGCGAGAAAGATTTCGTTCTGCAGATTGTGTTCTCATCAAATGAGTATGGCAACAGGGTCGACAGCACACTTCATGAGAATCGCACCACATACGTAGGGCATTTTTCATCCCACACGCGGTTCGGCGACTGAATCGTTTACAGTATCATAACGCTAACAGCTAATGACCTTATCATTAATCTATACAAGAGGATACGGGATAATGGCAGCTCTTAGACGAGCGCTTCATATAAATTAATCTAGGAAATGCCCTGCGGCGAGATACTGAGAGATGACGGCAAGAAAGAACAGGTAGAGTCATCTGCTGTCCGACGAGCAGCAACGATAGAGGACTCCACCCAGCAGCGTCCGAGTCCACAACTGGCCAATATAACCGTTACAGCACATGATTATCGCTCGTTCCGAATGGATGCAGGAATCGTTGCCGCTTTGAATACACCGACCACGTTCAACAACTGAGACATCAAGCTGTGCTCTACCACTGAGCCATCGCCGTGGTGGTCTACCACTGAGCCATCAATTCGATCACTGTGATCGAAAATACCCTACACAACCACGAACTGATCACAAGTCTCTTACCACTGAGCTTAATTAGATGTTCCGAGTCGAGCTCAAGCCGCAAAGTCTTTGTAAGGGATCTTTGAAGCTGCGACTTATCACTTGGTTCATTGAGCTTAGGTCTAACACTGATCAACAAAATTGAGCCGCTCGACCGTCCTCCTGCGTCTCCATGATAGACTCTACTGAAGGAAGAGCCCATGCTATGAACTCTTATTGGTACTTTGCTCCAAGAGACTAGTCACTCAATGTACTTGACTAGTTTAGGCAGTGGTAGCTGGCTACTACGGATAAATGAGAATACACTTAGAGGCAGCAAGCAACGAATGAGCCTGCCATAATTAATTGTGCTCAGAGTTTACTGAGGATGTGGAGCAGATATTCATCGAGCAACTGAACCTTCCCGAATGTATAGCTACATTGTGGTAGTTGGACCGGGAAGTAAACTCTCTGGTCAATGCAGAGCTGAAAGACCTTAAGCTTGAGGATATATGTGTCGTCTGCCGAGGTATACTGGGAGTATATCTGAGCTACATGGGCCTCCCGGCTCCGCAACTAGTGAGAATTCGGCTTGTTGAGCTGCATCGAACTTCAATTTCCTTTTTGGGAAGATGGACCTTTTTGTCTTGATTGGCGAGTATAAAGACCAAGGATCTTCGAAACAATGATTCTTTTGACAGAGGAGGTATGGAGGGACATTAGCGCTTGATAGGGAACAAAAACTGGGCTCAAGAAAGCACGAACAAAAGAGATCTTTGACCCCTGCCCGGATTGAACGGACGACCTTCTGGAGGCTCCAAATCACGCGTTATTGACGTGTCACGTGATTCCTGGAATCAGATGCTCTACCACTGAGCCAAGGGGTCTTATTTGAGGTCAGAAATCGAAGCACAAGCCTCAAAAACCCCAGGAGAGGCCGAAATATGCTTCAGAAAGAGTCCGATCACTCACAATCACTCGAACCCCTATTTTACCCCTAAATGTGTTACACCCCTTTTCGGGTCCCTAACAGCTACCCACTCCCAAATTTTGGGATAGAAATATGTGCAAGAGCAGTTGCAATGGCCAAATCAGTCTGTACATTCTGCTGCCCAGGAAAGATTGAGAGGCACATATAATCTGTATCTCCCTCTGCTGTTTCCTCTCCTCTGAATATGACCCAGACCCATGTCCTCGCATGTGTGTGAGACACTGGCACCTCCCATCCTACTCTATGACTCTGCTTGTTCACTGAGTGCGGAACCACTCTCCCGTCGTTAGAGAGGTTTAGCATATTACATCGCTTATTACTGCTACGAATTCACACCAAATACATTCCACTACCATTGGTACATGCAACAGCACTCCCCCTACCCCTCCATGTACCTCTCCTCTGTTCCAGTCAGTAGTTGATCATATACATTGTACAGTGCAACATGGGACCGCAGCACTATAATGGAACAAAGAATGGATAACACAATGTGGCAATATGATTCAGTGTATAAGTAGCACCATATGATTTACAGGTTCTGACCTGGGTCTAGGGTCTTTGAAAACCTGCAACCCAAATTCTAACCCATGTCACAGTAAGGTAGCACTTGAATCAGATTGAAGGTCTCTGGACCACTAAGTGGATGTTTTGAATTCAAATAGAGGCACTTAGACTTCCAGTATCTAACGTGAAAAAAACTATGTTTCCAGCTTGTGAACTTGTGGAGGGGAATTGTTGACTTGATAACAGGGGGATGGAAAGGTTCCACAAAAGAGCACCAACAGTTTGATCTTTGCATTTGCTTGGAGTGACACTGCCTATAAAGTAGCAAGAGGTAACACCCTGCTCTCTCTACTTGTCATAATAACAGGTGTGGGCCATTGCACCTGATTTATGATATTGGTTGAGTTCTGTGGGGAGTTGCTATAGAACGACATAATATTACGATCTTGTGAGTTGCATTTTCAGATGATAGGTCTCGAAGCCTGGTCTATGTTGCCTAGTTTTGATGTCCAGTGGGGAAATTGCCCAAAATTGCTCGTACATACTGTACATGCTTTAATTTAGCGGTTCGAACATCAATTTCCTTTTTTGGACAGCCCCTGAGCATTGATCCGCTCAGTACTTGCTCGACAAAGTGAACACTCTTCAATGTACCACCGGCCATTAGCACTGTGGGAGCAACACTGATGTACAGAGCCCTTTCGTCCGTACTGTGCGGTGGTATGAAGTTGAATATGGTATATGTCCTATGCTTATACGCGCTGGGGGATACCGAACGACGGGCGGCAGGTAACATCATCGCGGATGTTACAGCGAGGCCGGAGGCTGATTGCGCGATTGGTCTCATACCTTTTTGTCTGCGATAGTTGATTCTCGTAAACGATATGAAGTTTGAGAAAATTTTCAATTCGAGCCCAGTATCAACTTCCTACAGGTGCGTCCGTAGGACTCTTGTTGGCGTTGACTCTAGGCCCCTTTCTCTCCAATTCTTCGCGGAGCGACGCGAAAAGCCTCTGTGTTCTTTCCGCGTTGGGCTGCGATGCAGTGGTGATCAGTCGACGACCGTGAAGAATTCGTGCTCGCACCCACCTCCTTGCAGCACTGTATTAGTTTGTCAATGAGCATAGTCTGCCCATTCTGCGCGTCGTCAAGATCCTTCCGCAATTGTTGGATCTGTTACAGGGACGATTGGCTCGAGCAAGTGGTCGCCAAGAAGGCGCACCTCTTCCGCACGTTTATCGGCATGAGTTTTCTCCCCCTCCGCTAACTGCTTTTGCTCGGCAGCTCGAGCACGAGATAGCAGCACTTCCAATTCCTTGGAGCGTATCACGCATTCGAAATGGCGTTCTCGCAACTCGTATTGGCGGAGCACCTCTTTCAATCGCTCTCGAACACTAGATAGGATTTAGGAGCGATCAACGGCAAGATCAACAGACACGTACACTCCGTCGAAGATCTCGGTGAGTGCCCTCTTCGCTCTACGAGGGCCGTTAATGTGTGAAGAGGATCGACAAAGTATGTAACGCACTCTCGAGGACTATCCGTCCAGTTCTTCCTCAGCGACTGCCGCCGAGGTTCCGAGAGCTCCTCCTGGGTACAAGGGTCAAATTAAGACATGTACCATAAAAAGATCTGCGTACCCAGTCCTCCAATGGACCTTCAGTCAAATCCATCAACTCGACCGCAAGAATCTCATCGGCATCCTCCATACCCGCCTCCTCCGGAGTCTGGTCGGCCTCAATTGTCCGCCCATTGTGCGTGAATATGAACTGCATGGCATGACTCGGCACACCCGGTGCAGGAGGGGGAGCTGCGTCGGACTTGGCTGCGTTCTCAGGGTTTGGCTGGTTGGCCGCGCCCTTTTTCCCGCCCGTCTTCTCCATCCGGTCAGTCCAGGCGTTGAATAAGCGCGACAGCTTGGTTTTGCGCGAGATTTTGAAGAAAAGCTCGGCGCGGTAGCGGCAAACGACCTTGACTACAATGTCGGGCATCTCCCGATATTTAGCGTCCTGTATTTTGGCCTTCTCGGCGCGTTTAGTGATGTCGTTTCTCATTTGTATGAGCTACAGCGCGGTTGAGCGCATCGAAACAACAAAGGAAATGGACAGACCTCATCTTGGGCGTCCTCCACGGACTGAGCCAACCGCTTGCCATCCTCCTTTACACTGCGTTAAAAACGTGCCACTTGTCGCGTTCCATAGCTCACCCGAAGCCGCTTGTTGTCCTATCTCAACGATGAGCATAGAACACCAGAGTGGCGCGTCGCGAATCACCTTCTGCAATTCCCTGGCAAGGTTTTCGACCTTAGCCTTGGATTGGTTCGCCTTCGTAAGCTGGCTTTTGGCTACGAAAAACTTGAACGCGCTGAACGGACGGGTCGAGGGCTGGATATATACCAGCGTCCTTGTCCTTGACAAGCTTTTGCTTTTCTTTGGCGTGGTCCCGTTCCAATCGTTTGAATTCCGCAAACTAGATCGCGCGGAGGCCTTTTAAAAAAAGTGTCTTGTGAGGTCATCCCAATTTACCAGTTCGATGTATTTCGCGTGGATGGCATTCTCGCCCATGCCTTTGACAGATTTCTGCGCCTCCTCGGCTGTTCGAGCTGAGTGTTGCGCGCACAACAACAGAGGTAGTTAGCCGAACGCACCGAACCTCCGTTCCTCCTCTTCCTCGAGCACCTCCTCCTCCTCCAACGCAGCTATACGGTTCTTCAAGCTCTCATACATTGTTGCAGGATCGACCGGGGTGTCGTTCTTCTTCTTTCCCTTCGCCGGGTGACCGTTGACGGGTGGACCATGGTTGTGGGCTGGACGCGGTTGACCCGGGGGAGCATGTGTGTGGTTGGGAGGCGCGGGGGGAGGGGCAGCAGGTGCTGGTGCGGGTCCGTTGGGAGCAGGGGCCTTTGCAGGTCTTCCGGGCGGGTTGGTTCCATTCATTGTGCACTTTGAGCCAAATCCGGCCAGGTCAAAACTACGTCAAACTCTGGCTTTCTCTTTTCGACCACCATCCCGCAATACACCTTTGTCGTCCGTTTTGACTCTCTTTCACCCAGTACAAATTATACAGTAGTTCGATGCAAGAAAGACCGGGCCGACGATCTATTACTTCCAGTCACCAAAAAGCGCCGCACTCGCAAATGAAGCCAGTTGATGCACAACGCACACAATCAAGGAATACTATTTAGAACGAAGATAGCACGGATAGAACTAATGACACAGACAAAAAGATACATTTCGATCATTTGAAGCCCCATCCTCACAATTCCCTTGTAAATGTCAGCGTCGGATGATGGAGAAACATTGCAAACATACCTTAGGTATTCTTGGGGAACAGGTGGAGAACTAGGACTCTAGATTGGTATACGTCCTGTATAAAGTTGAGATAGACTGAGTGCCGTGAAATCTGTATCACATACCATTACAAGATCGTATAATTGGCGAATACGAAGCAGACGGCGGCGAGGGGCGAGACGCCGAATGGAAATTCGACTGAAATGGCGATGCAAATCGTGATTGTACTGAGTGTGGAGTTTGTTAATGCTCAGCATGGGCGGATGGCTGCGGGGAGGATCAAACTGAAAATTCACAATGAGTTCGCAGTTGAAGGGGTCGAAGTCTGTTTGAAACGACTTACGGGATGGCTGTGGGTTATCGTCAGGGAGGCGTCTGACTCCCAGTAGAGAGAGCACCGTCCACCGCCGAAGGGGCATGAGATGGAGTCGTCTGAGGCCATTGTGTTGGGGGGAGAAGCAAATTGAGACGATTGCGAGCGCCTTTTTAAATGTTCGGTGGACACTGGAACAGTCTCCGAAAGCCAATCACTCTGCAAACGGTCATGTCAAGATCGAAATTCTTTTCAGGTTTGAACCTTCTAATGGCTTGTTCATAGCCAAAACGAGCTAGAAACATTGAGCACAGCATATCTACCCGTTCCGATACACTTCTTCTCATTGACTCTTGTCATTGAGCCCGAGGAATTTGATTTTGCATCCCTACGGCAGCTTGAGCCGTGCAGGGTAGGGAGTCATTTGAAGAGGTACTCGTGTTTCCAAAAAGACGATCATGGCGCGGAAGAAGCTTGCCACTGGTTCATTTAACGGTCCAATGACAACAAGTATTTGAGTTGATCTACTTGAGGCATCACCGCAAATGGGTTCAAGTTCTGAGGAATAGAATTGCCACAGAGGGTTGGGAGATTGTAGCGAAACCAAAGCTGCTCCATGTTTGGCATCAGGGCTTGCGGGTGTGGCTTGCGTGTGTACTGCTTATCCCTTTGATTCTATGTGCTTGCGCCACAACCTCCGACTTGCAGGCTGTCACGACGCGTCAACACGAAAAGAACTCTACCGTCTGGAAACCACCTGCGCCACCGACTCATCCAAGAGAGTCGCTG